TCTTCAACTACTAGCAATCAAGGCAAGGGCATTTTCTTGCCCAGTGGTTTACTTTTGCTACAGTGAAATAAGTCGATCTCAGAGAGATAAAGGTGGTAACTTTTCTCTCATTTGTGGTTACTAGTTTTTATAGAGATGTACAACGTCATATACATGTATGCCTTGGAAGTGGAAATAAAATTTTTAGGGAACAACAGGGAGTTGACAGAAGGTGGGAGAAGCAAGGAAAGAGAAAGTAAGGTGCATGAAGGGAATAGACATAAGAAAAAATGGACACAGGTGAAAAACTTAAGAAAGACAACTTAGAAGTCAACCTATCCCCCAACGTCATTGTGTGATGGCTGAGCAGAAGGGCACAGGGGAAAAGAGAGAGAGCCAGAGGGGACAGATCTATTCTCAACACAGGGGACTTACTCCCTTCACAGTGGCATCAGTTCAAACATGGAAGAGGAGCCCCCATCACCTGAAAAGCCCTTAAAGATTCCACATCCCCATGTAGATACCATGACAATTAAATTAAATGTCCGTTTTGTCAAGTGCAAAACCACAGACCCTCTTTTCTCTGATTCTAATTTCTTTCCTTCCTTCTTTCCTCTTTGGCTTCTTCACTTTTTGTTTTTAGTAGACAGGATCTCACTACTCAGCCCTGGCTGTCCTGGAACTTGCTGTGTAGACCAGATTAGCCTCAAACTCACAGAGATCCACCTGCCTCTGCCTCCTCAGCGCTGGGGTTAAAGGTGTGTGCTACCATGCCTGGCTTTCCTTCATTTATTTTCCTGGCTAGATAGATTTTTATTTCTTTCATTTTCCCTACAAAATTTTTAGGACATTCCCTGGTAACATGTGAATGCATTGCAGAAAAGGGATCTGACAATCATGCATTTTTTTTTCTTTAAACAGAACTGCAGACAAGTCTCGGGGGCACTCCAGGTTGTACGCACTTCCTTCTTTCTGAGAAGCTTTCAACACTTATCCTAAGGCAAGTTGACTAGTGACAAATACTCTAAAATTGTCATCGTTGAAGACAGTTTTGTCTTTATTTCTTTCCCCTTTGAAGGAAGTTTTGTTATCTAAGGAATTCTAAGTGGGTGTTTTTCTTATAGAGATGTGTACACTTAACTCTCACCTGTATTTCTCTTGCTTTCATGGTTTCTTGAGAGAAGTCTAATCTAATCTTATTCTTACTCTCCTGCTGGAAGAGTGTCCTCCCGAATCACTTTTTTTTTTCCTCGAGTTCTTTGTCTTTGCTATTCCACAGTTCAAATATGATAAACTTAGGCACACAGATTTTGGTATATATAGTAGTTAATTTCCTCATCACCATCTCTAAATACCCAAGTAGAAGTAACTGTTGTGAAGAAGTGCTTATATTTGTATGCATTTGGAGTAGATGCAATTGATCATAGAGGAGAAGGCATGATGCAGGATTGCCTCCAGATGTGGAGGTTGGAGAATAAGTCTATGGGTAAATGAAGCAGAGATGGGTTAGGGAGTGGGGCCAACTACAAAGCTTGATGTCTTCTCCTAATGGCCCATGTCTTCCAATAAGGCTCCACCTCCCTAAGTGTCTACAACCTCACAAAACAGCACCAACAACTACAGACCAAACGTTCAATCAAACCTAGTCAGTTGTGAGAAACTCTCCATATTCAAATGAGACAGTATTTACCCTACTGTGAGCTTCTAGGTCTGCAAAATGTTTTCTGACATTAAATTTAGAAAGCTGTCAGCCATCATTGCTTCAAATATTTTCTCTGTTCTTTGTTTTTCTTTCTTCTCATCTTACATGTATGTGACATCTTTTATAACCATCTCACTGTTTGGGGGTGGGGATTCTGTTGCATCTTTTTCTTTCTTGTTTTTTTTACGCTTTGCACTTAAGTTTTAGCAGATTCTATTGGTTCGGGTTCACTACTTTTTTCTTCAGCAGTATCTAGCTGCTAAGCCCATCAAAGGCATTTGTCTTTTGATTGCTCTGTTTTGGGGTTTCTAACATTCTTAGATCCCATATCACAGACTCCATTTCTCTCCATATACTGCTAAGTTCTTGTATGCTGTCCACCTTAGCATGCCAGCCATGGTTATTTTACATTCTTGGTCTGGTAATAAAGACATATTCAGTCATATCTGGGTCTGGTTCTGATGGTTGCATTGTCTCTTCAGAGTTTTACCTTTTGGCATGACTTGGATTTCCACTAAAAACCTGACCCAATTTGGTGAGAGGATTTGAGGTACTGGGTAGACCTTTGGGCTGAGCTGTCTTTACTATTTTCTATAACTGTGGTGTCTAAAGCAAAATTTGCTCGAGCATCCTTTTTTTTTTTTTTTGTCTTCTGTTTCTTTAGACTTCCAGAGAAACTCCTCAGATGGAGTCTAAAACTTGCACTGCCTTTATTTATAATCCTGTCCCCCAAGAGCCCTGTAAACATGGTCTTAAAGTACACGGAGATGAGAAACACTCTCTGGTCTTTTGCTAGGGTCTAGGTCTTTTGGAGTTAGATATTTCCTCTGATTGGTGCTTGCTGAAACCCCAGTCTGCCATGTGCTAGTGAAACAGTTCCTCTTTGCAGACAGAACTTGTTGGTAGCTGATTTCAAATGGTTACTTTCCCTAGTCTCTTCCTTCCCAGAAGGAAGCTGTCTTCAGCCTTCACAGGGAGAGTCTGGAGGTGAGGTAAAATTCTAGCAAATGTGGGGTGCTCCCTAAGACTGGGCCACTCAGAGGCATTGTCTCCCAAACAAGTCTACAACTGTTCAGTAATTTTCCAGTTCTGTCCACTCCATCCTTACTGATACTGGCCCTAGCTGTGGGTGTCTGCATTCCATAAGTGTTTGAGTTGTTGATGTTTAGTTTGTTCTTTTGTTTCCTGTGACAATGGAAATATTTACTTTATACAATAGACTGCAAACTAGAAGCCTGTACTGTCTCTTCTTTTTTTTCCCCAATGGTTTGAAGGTTTTCTTTCTGTCATCTTATAGATTGTCTTTCATAAGCCCCAGGGTCCAGCACCTCACACCCTGCAGATCACTGTTTCATACCAGGTATTCTCAACTGGAGTAGGGACTCGGGACAAAATAAAAAGGCAAAGACAGAAACACACAGAAAAGACGCCCAAGTCCCACCTGGTATCAATTAAACCAGGATCTCGCAAAAGCATTTTTACATTGCATAATGTCCCTAGTTAATTTAATGTGCTTCTAGAGTAGAGTACTCTCTTCTTCCAGATCTAGATGCTCGACTAGTCCCTTCTGGCCAATGTCAGAGGTAGAGTAGCATCTCCAATAGGTTACCCACAGTTCCATAGGAAACCGACAAGACAGAATAGACCCAGCACTCCCGCTCCTGGTCTAGAGCCATAGCTCAGGGAAGGTACTGTATAGGCAGAACAGTAAGGCGACTTCACGATTCTGGCCTAGTGTTCACATCCTCTGGGATACTCTCCCCTTTGGTATGGGGTGGTCCCAGAGTTGTTTCTAGGAAACAATATGGCAGAAACATTGCAATCTGGATCAGCTGATTTTGTGAGACGTGGAGATATGTGCACGTGTTCAACGCAGGAAGCCCTATGGGCTCAGAGTTGCTATTTTCTCTCTCTCTCTCTCTCTCTCTCTCTCTCTCTCTCTCTCTCTCTCTCTCTCTCTCTCTCTCTCCCTCCTCCCTCCCTCCCTCCCTCCCTCCCTCCCTCCCTCCCTCCCTTCCTTCCTTCCTTCCTTCCTTCCTTCCTTCCTTTTATCTTTCCTTCCTTTCTTCTGTTTTAATTTTCCAAGACAGTGCTTCTCTGTGCTGCCCTTCTGTCCTGGAACTTGTTCTGTAGACCAGGTTGGCCTCAAACTCAGAGAGATTCACTGGCCTCCTGAGTGCAGGGATTAAAGGCGTGCACCACCACCTCCTGGTTGAGTTGCTATTCTTATGATGGTAAAGTGATTGTTCTATGATGATATAGTGATTACAGTGGTGGTGTCTGAGGGTGCTCTTAACCTTCCCCAGAAAAGACACGGCTTCTCCCAACCCTCAGGAAGAGAATAACCATACAGGGAAAACTCTGCTAAGGGATTCCTGATTCTTTTTTTCAGGAATGCCCTCTAAAAGGGCAGGCTTTGTAAAGGTCAGTTTGAATTGAATTTCTCCTGCTTGCCCAGGAACCTCTTCAATTCATGTTTCCCTCCTTTTCAGATTCACAACTGACACAGACTTAGAGTCTTAAATATTAAATAATAGCTGTAAAGCAATTTATAGCACACACAGGTTATCTCCATGAACATCCTCCAGTTTGTTCCTCACCACGTGCTGTGAAGTAGGCCCCTTTTCCTCAGGTTTATGAGCAAAGAAATGGAAGCTCACAGAATATAGATACCTTATCCAAAGTTCCAAAGCTGTGGAGGGGCATAAACACACATTTATTTTAAGGCCCACAGCACCAGTCTGCTGTGTTTTCTCTCTACCATGTGCCTGGCTTTCTGATTCTTTTCTTTTCCCAAACAACAAGCCCACTTGGTTCATTGCCTCTGAGGGGCTTGGCCCCTGTGTCTGTCAAACCGGAGAGCTAGTGAAAACTATTACCAGCTCATAAAACCAGCCGCCTGGTCACCATGTTGCCTAGATCACATCTTAGTTTGGATTGTGGGCGCATGTGAGCCACGTGCACAAAGCTTTCCAGTCCCTTGAGCATCCAGGCTTGTTACTGAGCACTGACACCCCTAGACTTTCTCAGTACATGCATGTATGTGTGTGTGTGTGTGTGTGTGTGCGCGTGCACACGCACGCTTGTTCTCCTTAAAATAAAGGCTTAATGCCTTCTGAACAAAGAAAAAAAAAACACACAAAAACAGAATAATAAAACTTAATAATTTATTATCAACAAAGTTAAGAACTTGAAAACACGAGAGTGTGGGGAGTGACTCATCAGAGGCACCAGAAAATGCCAAGATAATGAGTAACGATATTTGCTGAAATAAAATACAGTGTTCTTAGGATAGCCTCTTTGACTCCCGTTTCGTTCTCTCATTTGTTGGAACTTCTGAGGATTTCTCTTCCCCACTGTTCTCATGACAGACTTGACAGCCATTCGGCTCTGTGACCCATAATGAGCACAGTACAGGTGAGTTCCATGCATCTGCTCTCTAAACACACAGCCCGAGTGATGGATTTTAGAACTAGGAAGCTGGTTCAGCCTCTGGAAGTCAGATGTTGGTGGGATGCTTCAGTGAGCTCTTGCTGGCTAAAACTGGCTTGGAAGGCCCTGAAGGCCTTTATCAAGTCCTAGGAAAGTCTTACCTTCCACCCCTATGTCCTGGGCTCCTTTCTTCTCAGTGTTTATTGTTGGAAGGCTGGGGCTGGGGAGGAGGAAAGGCTTTGTCCCCTTCCTCTCTTCTATGACATCACTGAAAATCTCTCAACTTTCCTCCAAGAGTACTAGCCTCTTTTAGTCTTGTTTTGTTTTCTTTTCTCATTTAGCTCAGCTGAGGAACTCACCATTTGAGAACAGTGAAATTCAACTCAGGAATAAGGAAGGCTCAGATAACAGAAGGATCCAAATGCGTCCACTCAAGTGAGCTGGAATGTCGGGAGTAGTGTGTCCTGGCTGGGTACTGTTCTTCATTGTATACATGTATTTTAGAGCTGGGGCTATAGTTCAGTAGGTAGAGTGATTGCTTAGAATGGATGAAGCCCTCCCTGGGGTCAATCCACAACACCACTTAAAACAGCCTGGAGGCACAGGCATGTCATGAGTTCAAAGTCACCCAGGCACTATCAAGGCTACAGAACAAAATTAAATCTTACAGACTTCTGGACTTGAGTTATTAGAAGCCGAGTTTTTATTGGAATGGTACCACATTATAAAATTCAGTATTGTTATTTGTGAGATGGGCTCTGTCTGCTGGCTGGCATGGGATGGTGGGACCTCAGAGAATCTCTGAGTGCCAGTGTAACACCCGGTTTTGGTGTTACACCCTCGGTACAGCTCTCGCGCCACTGTACCAAATGCGAGTCCGGCAAGGCCAGGAGGTTAAACACAAGACACAGAGAGACCAGGGTCATTTGAAACGAGATCAAGGGAATAACGTTTATTCAGACTGGGGAAAGTCCTTACCTACCTAACTGCAGAACTAGGACCCCCGCCCAGGCAGGTGGGAAATTACCATATCAACAATGGAATGAATGCCCTGCAGCTAATCATCAGGTGGGGCAGGGAAAAATACAGGAATTTAACCAGGCGGGGCAGAACGCTAGTCATCTGACTAGAAACTGTACGCGCCCTAAGAATAAGGGCTGAATGCTAGATCATGTTGACCAGAAATTGTCCTTGAAATGCGCCCCAGGAATAAGGGCAGACCAGGGCCCTACATGACAGGTTACTCTTGGGAAGAATGAGAACTAGGCACCCCAGTGCCTACAAATCTATGACTCTAAGATCTAGTTTATTTATTTATTTATTTATTTATTTATTTATTTATTTATTTAAGAAGGTGAGGGAAACTTGATGCTAGGGTCCATAGCTTTTACTTCTTCCTCTTCACTCTGATAGCCTCAGCCTCAGCCACGAGGAGCTGGCTTGGCTGAAAGAGGCCAATTTGTGTTTCGTTCATCTCTCCTCACCTGCCGCCTAGGGTCCTGAGCTTCTTCCTCCGGCTAGCCTTGGGACGGGCCTCCTTCACGTAAGCAGCCTGTTGGCTAGGGGCCGCTGGAGCAGCTGCTACCTCGGCAGCTCTGCTCATGCACTAAGCTGACACATGACAACTTGTATTAGGCTGAGGCTCTCTGCGGGAAGCCGGTGGGCTCTCTCTGCCATCTCCCTTCTGTTTCACCATCTGCTGGCTCCCAGGGAGGTGGTGGCAGAGCACAGGTTAAAGAGGGTACCCGGAGTGAGGACATGGCGGAGGCCTAGAGCGCTAACCTTCTCCTTCCTTGTCAAAGGCTGCTTGGCAGAGTGGCACTTGTCCCTAAGAGAGCATGAGGTGGATCAGGGTAGGCTGGCCCACGCCGAGAGCATCCAGGTTGTGTCCCATCATCTGTGCCAGGAGTCACCATGTAGAAGTCACATTTTGGCTTGGTTTAAACTTGATCCATGTGCTTTACAGAGAACCTGTCAAGGGATTCTTGGCGTTTTCTTCGCACTTGTTTGAATGTTGTGGCTTTTAATATCTATCACGATTTTTAGGTGTGCATGTGTGTGTATTAAAGGTCCCTTCCATGCTCTTTCAGGATGTTCTCATATACCAACATAAAGTGGCAATCACATGGGTAGGCTGGCTAAGGGTGGGGCTTGGGCCGAGGAGGAGCCGGGCCATGTGTTCTGTGGGTTAATGCAATGGGCTGGCATGGTGGGAGGCTGCTGTGCTGGGGCCCTCCCTCTCAGCCGGTGGTCCCACAGATTCCAAGATGGTACAGATTGAAGGGAGGGGCGGGAGTGTTGGTGAAATGGTCATTGCTCCTTCTTTTTCTGAAGCTGAAAATGAGGCTTAGGGTAGGCAGTGGCCTATGAAAGAAAGGTACACCTACTCGGTAGGGGAAAAGGGACTAACGTGTGTGTGTGTGTGTGTGTGTGTGTGTGTTCTTGTCTGTTTATATACTGCCTGGTCATATGTGCTACAGTGTGCATAGTGCAGAAATCTAGAAGTTTCTGCTAACTGAATGAATTAAGATAGCCCAGGCTTTCTGCCTCCAAGTTAGTCCTATGATTCTTCCTTCTCCACCAAGAAGGATCTGAGGTGGCTCATGATTAAGGTGACCATGAGCTGGAGATGTGGCAAGTGGTAGAACATTTGCCTAACTTAAGTTTAATTCCGAGTGATGAAAAGAAAGACTGTATATTTCCATTTCTCTGCTTCTCCTCATATTCCCTGATCCCCAGTCATGTCGCCAGTGTAAACATACATCACTTGTTACCCAGAATGTCTCATCATCTGAACATGCCTTTTTGGGGGGAGGGGTGCTGGTGGGCTCTTTTCCAGGGTATTGCAACAACTGGGCTACATCTTCACTCTCAAAGGCCTTTATGTTGATCCTTAAATATTTGTTTGCCCAGGTTGCTTCTGGGACACCCACCTTACACTTTCCCAGAAGGCTTTGATGAGTCCTTGAACACAGGTGTTGGGAAGACTCATGGACAGGTGCACGAAGTAGTTTGGCCAGGACTGCCTGTGGCCTAATAATGGACTTCAAAAGTAATTACATGGAACTCGTTTTCTTCGTCCATAAAACAACACAGTTCCCTAGGACCCTGAATGTCTTGAACATCTGCTTTCACAAATTAATTTCAGGGGGTAGCCTGTTCTGTGCCCTGTTGGCCTCTTCTTCATTAACTTCTGTGGTGTTGTGATTAGGGCCACATCTGGACTGTACCACAGTGGTTGGACAGATCAGATGTTCCACTGGGGAGATAGTGACTTACATTCAGGACTGCAGATGTCTTCCTCTGTGGTTTCCTTGGTTACCACTCTGCGGTCCCAGCAATGGGTTTAAGGATTGCTCAAGGACACAACAGGGCTGGACTCTAGTGTCCGCTGATAGGGCACTCTCTGTTTTGTCCTTCTTGTTACCCTACCTGGTAAGCAAGGCCTGGGAGTCCAGAAAGGCACAATGGGCACTGTAGTGGAAGATTCCTGACTTTCAGTACAAGGCTGAAATAGAATGGCTTTATCTCAGACAGAGGGATAGTAATCAGATAGAGGGATAGTAAAGAGGTCTCCGTAGGAGGGTCAGACAGATGGGATGCCCGATCTTGGGAAAACACAGTCTCCCTCATCTTAGGGAGAACTTGCTTTTAAAAATGTCTCATATGGAAACCAAAGTTTTATCTTCCCCAGAGGGAGAAACCATCCCTGGCTAAATTTATTCAGAGCTGTGATTCAAGTTCTAGTTCACTTCTTTGTCTTGTGAGACCTTATGTAGGCTTCTTGGTCTCCCTCATAGGATTATCTGGAGGATCACATGATAGAATTCTCAGCGTTATAAGAATATTGTGCCACAGTGGTGGGAGCTTGTAATCATAACCCACTTTGGGCACCAAGAGTCTTTAGGTGCACTGCAGAATCTGATAGATGGAGCGCAAACTCATTCTGTGCTCTCGAGAAGACAATGTTTGAGCAACAGGTCCATGGACCAGGAAGACAAAGAATTCTTCAGTCACTCTGCTGGTCTCACCAGTGAATCATCTGATGATGGAGGTTGGGAGAGTCCCTTCTAAAGAGAAGTTTAATGTCTCTGCCTCAAGCAAACTTAGCATTAGTAGACGTTTCTTGAATTGTCCCAGTGACAAAGAAAACACTGGGTGTGTGTATGTGGGGGACATCAGGCTCCTGTCCTGACGTGTTTATGGTAATGAGTAAAGTTCATGGGTCACCTGTGAGTTCTGTCTCCCGGTCTCTCACTGCTGGGCCTCTCAGGTAGACTGTGGATGGTCTAGAAGTCAACATGAGTCCAAGTGTCTTCTTGCAGACCCAGGAGGCCCCCAGAGGAGGGCAGATGAGACCAGAAAGGTGAAGCTGTGAAGCTGGCGGGCTCCCTCTCTTAGCTTTACGAACTCTCACCACACAGGACATGGTCATGGGAAAGAAACACTAGGATTAGGGTCGATCCACTTTCTGAATGAAGCCTGGAGTCTAAAACAGTGGTTTTCAACCTGTGGGTCGTGACCCCTTTGGGGTCACATATCAGATATTTTGCATATCAGATATTTACATTACAATTCATAATAGCAGCAAAATTATAGCTATCAAGTAGCAATGAAAATAATTTTATGATTGGAGGTCAGCACAACATAAGGAACTGTATTAAAGAGTCGCAACATTAGGAAGGTTGAGAACCGCTGTTCTAAAAGTTCTCTTGCTTCTGACCTTGCCCTGATGATATTCAGTCGTAATAAAGGACTTTTAAAAAAGCAGCCTTATCTTTAGAGGGTACTGGGAAGATAACTGTCTATAGGTTGGGGTAAAGCAAGTCACCTTGGGTGGCCTTTGTTCAGTCAACCCTCCTAGAATTCTTACAATATTTTTTTTGACTTTAATAACAGTTTTATTAGAAGTTCTGGGATTTAACAAATAAAAGTAAATATCCAGCAAATTTCAATTTTAGACAGACTCCTTCCAATATTACTACTTTTGAATATCACATTTAAGATAGATATTATTGTTAACCATTATTTATTTGATCCTGGTTGTGAAAGATTATATCTTCAGGGCCTTTTTTTTTATTGAGAAAAGGAAAAGAAAAAAAAGTTTCCGCCTCCTCCCAGCCTCCCATTTCCCTCCCCCTCCTCACACCCTTCTACCCCTCCCCCCACTCCTTTCCCCTTCCCCCCACTCCTCTTCCCTTCCCTCTCCAACCCAAAGAGCAGTCAGGGTTCCCTGCCCTGTGGAAAGTCCAAGGTCCTCCCCCCTCCGTCCATGTCTAGGAAGGTGAACATCCAAACTGGCTAGGCTCCCACCAAGCCGGAACATGAAGTAGGATCAAAACCCCGTGCCATTGTCCTTGGCTTCTCATCAGCCCTCATTGTTC